CCCCCCACCGTGCCTTGCAGCCCTTTCTGGCACTGTCTCTCCCATCCAGCAGAAAAGCCCTCCCCTCCCCCATCTCCCTGACCTTTTCTCAAGGACCAGCTCAGTTTACAAAGAACTACCTATTGCCCAAAGGCCCTCATGGAATTGGTCGGATCCTCTGCGTCCTAGTTGGGACGATTATTCAGCCAAGATTTGCCTTCTGATGCTCCCGCTGTGGGCAGAGTGTGCTTTCTTGCCCTCGTGAGGCTGGGCTCGGCCGCGTGACTTGCTTAGCCGATGAAACGTCAGTGGATGTGCACACGCAGAAGCCTCGCGAGTGCCATGAGAACGTGCCCCAGGAAGCCGTGGGTCCGAGATAATGAGAGACATGTGGACGGACTTGGACCCCACCTGCAGCTTCGAGCCAAGTCCAGCCGAGCCAGTCAAGATCATGGGGACCCGGGAGCCAGAGACGGAGTGGGATGTCACTCAGCACGACTGCAACCAACGCATGCACCTGTAAACCGGCAGGATTCGGTACCCCCTGCACCCCTGCGTGCCCAGAGGTACAGCCCTGAGCTGGCGAGGTCCTGGGAATCAGTCCCTCCTCCCCCATTTTATAGCTGTGGAGACTGAGGCCCGGAGAGGAGAGGGTGGTGAGTCAGGCATCAGCCTGGCTCTTCGCCAGCTGTGGGACCCTGGCCGGACGGAATGGAGTTTTGGCTTAGTCTCCAAACCTCTCAAATGGTGACAATGATCCTTATAAAAGAGACCATTCAGGTCCTGTGCCAAGCACAGAGCCTGTGCTCAACAATCGCATTGTCCGTAAGTGGCTGTTCTCCCAGGGAGTGGCGGAGCCCACGCCCGTCCCTGGGCCTCCCTCCCTCCCTCCAGGGGCAGGCAGAGAAGCTCTGGATTCTGGATGATTCCCTCTGGTCTGTTGGGCTCCTCTCCCCGCATCTGCATTTTACCTCGACCCTTCCCACCTCCTGGGAGTTCCCAGAATATCTCCTGCTTCACCCTCTCTCTCAAACGGAAATAAGACCCCATCCTGGGGCGTCTGGGTGGCTGGGTCGGTTGAGCGTCCGACTCCGGCTCAGGTCATGACCTCACTGCTCGTGAGTTCGAGGCCTGCGTTGCGCTCTGGGCCGACAGCTCGGAGCCTGGAGCCCGCTCCGGATTCTGCGTCTCCCCCTCTCTCCATGCCCCTCCCCTGCTCGTCCTCTGCCTCTCTCTGTCTCAGAAATAAATAAACATAAAAAAGACCCCATCTGGACCCCAGCCGCCCTGCTCCCCTTTCCTGCTGTGGCTGAGCCCGGGCCCGGGCCCCTCCGTGTCCTCCCCGGAGCACAGAGGGCTCGGAGTGGGTCCGGGTCACAGGCTCCCAGGGGCAGCTGACGGGGCCTCAGCTCGGGCTCCGTGGGACGGCTCCTCCCGGCTCAGCTCCAGCCTGACCGTGACCTCGCAGACCATCACACGGGGACGAGGGAGACGGAGAGACCGACCCGGGAGCGGACCTCTCCGCGGCCCCTGTGTGGGGACCCGCATCTTCCCTGGATGGTTCGCCGGGATGCTACTCTCCCTCCCGAAAGAGGGGCGTCCTCCGCAAACACACCCGCAGGCCATCGGAAGCTCATTTCAACCTTATAAAATCAGTACTTTTATTACCTGTGTATGTGGTGGCAGAAAACCTGGCCCACCGGTGGCGCCCATGTCTTAATCCCTGGGGCCCGCGGATATGTTACCCTACCCGCAAGAGGCCTTTGGCCTCCAGAAACAAACCAGGCCCGGGCACGCCCAGCGCGGCGAGATCATACATATGTGCTGTTTTCTGTCACTCGCTGGGTGGCCATTCGTTAAGGGGAAACAAACGCACCGGGCTACAGGTGGGGAAATGGAGGCACGGAGGGTTCGAACAACCTGTTCAACGCCACACAGGGCCCGTCACCGGCCTCGAGAGGGAGTCCCAACCGCCGCCTGCTCTATGACCCTGGGCGGGTCCCTGGAGTCCTTCTGATCTCGTGTGTGAAAATGGGCCAGTGCGGCGCTCGGAAGGGCCGCGCGGGAGGGAAGGCGGGGCCGGTTGACACGCGTGGGCGGTTGACCCGGGCCGCGGCCTCCCCGCGCCACTCGCACACCCACCTGGGGCAGGCCCGCCGGCCCTGGCCCTCCTCCTCCTACACGGGCTGCAGCTCGGCTTCCAGCTTCTTCTTCCGGACCCCCTCCACGAAGAAGAAGTCCATGCCGATGAGGGTTTGCCCCAGGGGCGTGTCCACCCTGCTGCCCACAACCTGGTTCGTGGAACTGGGGACTGCGTCGGAAAAGAAAGGCACGTTCTCCGGCAACGTCACAGGCGCCTTCTTCTCGCCCTGAGAGCGGGGACAGTTTGTGTCACAGGCGGCAGGGAAAGCAGGAGAGGCCTGCAGGCGGCCAAGCCCTTAGCAGGGAAGGGGACGCAGGGGGCAGGGGGCAGGTGGCCTCAGCAGGCTGCCTTCTCCGGCTGCTTCCGTCCCAGTTCTGACCTGGGAGCCCGGAAGGGTCAGGAGACTCCTCATCTATGGCCAAATGCGTCTTCCTCACCCGGGGCTCCCTAGCTCGGCCGCTCCCCTGACCCCTTCACTTTGATGCTTGACCTCCAGGGACCCGGGAGGGACCGGGTCTGACTCCTCTCTCTATCCCTGTGACCTGAGACGCTGCCTCACGTCCGGTGGGAGCGCAGAGGGTTGGTTCCGGGGTGAGCTTTTACTCGAAGTCTAACACACACGCAGGAACGTCCCCAACCGTGCAGCTCCACAAGCCGCCACGACGTGGGCCTGTCTGGGCAGCCGCACCCAGATCGAGAAATGACCACAGGACCCGGACACACTTCCTCCCTACCCCGCAGCCAGTCTCCACCCCCGACGCGTCCTGGGCTCCCTAATTCCCGGGTTTTGCCCGGTGTTGAACTTTGTCTTCTCTTTTATCTTAAAAAGACCGTGGCTCCTTTCTCCCCTGAACGTTTTCCGGGTTCATCCACATTTTTCTGGGTGTGGCTGCAGCGCATTCGTTGCCCTTGCTACCCCGCGTGCCACTGCGTGGCTTGCACGAACATTCCCCATCATTCACCCCTGCTGCCGCGGACGGCGTTGGGGTTGATTCCCAGTCTGGGGGTGCCGCTCTGGACATTTGCGCAGGTGTTTCTGGTGACTTCGGTGACTGAAAGGTGAGTAAATGCATGAGCTGAGCATAATCGGGTGAGCCCTTGTTGAAACAAGGGTTAACTCCGTGCTACCCCGTGTCAAATAGAAGTTGCAGGGCCAGTGGAATAATAGGATGCTGGCTTTCACTGAGGAAGGCCAGTGCCCGGGTGGCCCCACCTTTGGACGTGACTCAGGTTTCGGTGATCGGGTGGCTAACACCTAGCTCCTGGCAGGGGGACTCCGGGGGCTGGAAGCCCAGACCAGGGGCTCAGTGTAGGATTTCAGGTCTCATGATCCATTCTCCCATTGGGTCACTCCTCCGACATTAACGGAGCGCCAACTATTTTTTGGACGCTGGGGGGTAGGGCACAGCTGGCGGGTGGGGTACAGCGATGAAGCCATCTTTGTCCCTTCTCAGGGAGCCCACTGCCTGGTGAAACTGAGCATTGAAACACGACGCGCTCTACCAAAGGAGGGGGTTGGATACGCTGGCCAGTCAAGAACAGAGTGATCTGATTGAACCCGCTCAGGAAGGACAGATGTCACAGGAGGAGGGAATTGAGTGGGGTCTTGAAGGATGACCAAGACTTAAGAGCCCCTCATGCGGACAAGGTGGGAAGGGCACACCAGGCAGGGGAACGGCATGCACAGAGGCCTCACCAAAACAGCGTGTAGGTCAGCGTGGGGAGGCAGGCAGGGCTAGATCGCGAGAAGCATTGTAAGCCACCCCGAGACACGCAGATTTATTGAAGGATTTTAAGCAGGGGAGGAATATGGCCAGTTTTGTGGCTTGGGAAAATTACTCCGGTAGCAATATGGAGGATGGACCGGAGGTGGCGATGTCAAAGCGGGGAATTGGTTTACAAATATGCCCGCCCAAGCTCATTCTCCATAAGGAAAACACCGCATACCCCTCACTGCACATGGCTGACATCCTCACACGGGGGAAAACATTTCTAGTTGGTTCATCTTCATAAAATCAAGAAACACTGGGGAGAACTAACACCTAAATGCTCGAAGCATTTTCTCTTCCCCTGACCCCGAGTGTCTTGAAACAAGAGAGCATTTTGGTTTTTGTCTCTGCACATTCCAGCATCTAACACACAGTAGGTCCTCAATCAATGTCAGATGAGTGCGGGGACATTCCCGGTTCAAGGGTGCGCGACAGGAACATCGCCGGCCTTACCAGGGGATCATAGTCTTTCAAGAAACTCCAGTTCTGAGCCCTGGAAAGGAAAACACGTGGGCGGTGTTACATCTCCCTGTGGCATTTTTTTATAAGGGACTTTCGCGGCGTCAAGGGAATGAGTCGAGGCCGCCGATGCACGTGTTACGTCATGGAAGGAGCTTCCATGATCAAGTGAAACAAACACGGAAAACGCAGCGGGTGCGCGTCCTGTAGAACGAACAAATATTTCCAGCATTCCTGACGTCTCCTTGGGTCGAACAAACAGTGCCAGGGGACATAGCCCGCGGTGAGAAACCCAGTGGTGCGAGTCCCCCCCCCCCCCCCCCCCCCCCCCCCCCCCCCCCCGCCGTGTGCCTCTGCATCTTTATGGCCACAGGGGAGCCCCCGAGTATTTGGTGAAGAAAAACCAGTTTCCGCTCACCCACTGCGCGTCCGGAGCGTGCGGCAGAGGAAGGCGGGAAGGGGCAGGGGACAGGGACAGACACAGGGATCACGAGGAGAAGGGCATTACCTGTGTTGCTAGGGTAATTTTTATTTTAATCTGTTCCTAAGGAGTTGAACAATTCCATAAGACATAATAAAAACAGGCTTCTGTGCCCCCGTCCTCACAGCCCCTGAGCGCCCCCAGCCTGGGGTCAAGTTTCCACGGCTTTGGCTGTTTCTTTGGGCGTCTCGCCACCATGTTCTGGAACAATAAACCTAGGTTGCCCTTTTTTGAGTTTTTGAAACTGTAAGCGTATCTGTGGACTTTCAGTTATGGGAGATTTTGAGTTAGGTCTCTTGCCCCTTTCCTTCCCCTCACTTCCTCCAAAATTATTCTGTGCTAGATTTTGGCTCAGTCGATATGTATTGTTTACATCCTCGGGTTTCTGTAAATGAACTTCATGGAGCAACTACCTAAGATCATATGAGCTCAGTTCCTTGTACGGCTTAAAAATTTTTTCTGGGGTTCATAATCACATCTTGTCCCTGTTTGCTTTTTTCGAGAGAAAGAGAGAGAAAGAGAACAAATGGGAGAGAGACAGAGGGAGAGAGAGAATCTTAAGCAAACTCGGTGCTCAGCACCGAGCCCGACACAGGGTTCGATCCCATGACCCCGGGATCATGACTTGAGCCAAAATCAAGAGTCGGACGCTCAACGGACTGAGCTACCCAGACGCCCCTCCCATCTTTTCTCCTTTGTTTTTTTTTTTAGCTTTCTCTGTTCATATCACTGATTCCAAACCCTCCAACAAAATTGTGAAGCCCCTTGCGGCATGATTTTCTGCACAATCAGATGCAACAGGTAATCAGCTGTCTCTCTCACATTTGTTCTCCGGAGGCCGCCGTCCAGGAGCCCGGGTCGCCCAGTGCCCACCGGGGCTGCTGCCCAGGACCTGCTCCTGCCGTCCCGACCTCCACTCCGGGGATTCTCTCTTTCTGAATCCCGGGCCTTCCTTCCTTGTTCACTCTCCTGCCGTGGAGCACATCCTCCAGTGTCTGTGGAGGCATGCATTTCTTTGATTCTAGAAAGTTCTTGGACATTTTCTCCTCAAATATTTCATCTCTCCCAGTCTCTCCTTGAGGAGCTCTGGTGAAGGGTATGTTGGTTCTGTTCTCTAGGGTTCTGATCCCTCCGTGGGGTCCCCCTCTGAGTAATTGCAACGCGTCTATCTGAGTTTATGAATCCTCATTCCAGTTGTGTTTTGTATTTCCACGTTACGGATTTTTATTTCTAGAGGTTCTTTTTGGTTGTTCTCCAAATTGCCTGATTGTTCAAAGTCCATGCTCAGGCTTTGAACTGAGTCTCCTGTGTATAGCCGTCTGGAGACATCTGGAACCTTCCTGCCCGAGCCTTCCCTGGGGGCGTGTCTCCCCTCTGCCCTTCTATGCCGCACTCTCCCCGCTCTGCCCGTTCATTTCCTTCCATCTTCCCCAAGTGTCCTGACCCTCCCCCCCCCACCATCACCCCCTTTCCTGTCACGAGGGAGCCACGTTTCAATAGCTTTGGTTTTGAGTTGACAGAAGGCACGGGCCTTGGCCTCAGAGCCTGGCTAAGACTTAGCGGGAGGCAGCAGGGTATGAGGAGAGAACGCGGGGCCCCTGTCCTGGCTTCGCCTGCAGCCCGCTTCGCTTGCTGTGTGGCCCTGACGAGGTCACTGTGTTCTTGGGCCCTCAGTTTCTCTGTCTGTAAAACCCCAGGAGGTTGGTTTACCGAGCACCTGTGAGTCGAGGTCTGCTGTGAGTGCAAAATATACAGACCGGATTTCACAGACTTGGTACAAAGAAGGAGGCAAGTATCTCTTTAATTCTTTTTAAAATATTGACTGCATGCCCAAAAGATAATATTTTCGGTAAGATATGTTATGAAGAGGTGCCTGGGTGGCTCAGTCGGTTGAGCGTCCGACTTTGGCTCAAGTCATGACCTCACGGTTCGTGAGTTCAAGCCCCGCGTCTGGCTCGCTGCTGTCAGCCCAGAGCCCCCTTCTGATCCTCTGTCCCACCCCCACCCCCCACTCCCAGCCCCTCCCTCATTCTCTCTTTCTCTCAAAAATAAATAAAAAACACAAAAACGTGTGTTATTAAAATGGATTTCCCTAATTTCTTGTTACATTTTTTTAAGGTTGCTACTAGAATATGGAAAAGTACGCCTGTGACTCGTATTTCTGTCGGGCTGAACGGTTCTGGATTTCCCTCAACCCTGTCCTCTTGGTTTCTGAGACCCTTTCTTCTCTGGTCTCCTGGCTACTTTTCCGTCCAGCGACTGAACGTTGCCAGCTCTGTGCTATGACCTCACCGCTGGAGACCCGTCATGCCCTTCCAGGGAAAGCTTATCACCTTTCCAGGGCCAGTTTCTTTTCTTTCTGTTCACCGGTTTCCTTTTTGGTTCACTCGAGATCAAATCCACATGTCATAACGTTCATCCTCCTACAGTGTGTGGTCCAGTGGTTTCCGGTATATTCCGAGTTATGCACCATCGCCACCATGTCCGTCGCCCCCAAAAGAAACCCCGTGTCTCTTGGTGGTCACTTCCCTTCTCCCTCCCCTCCTGGCCACCTCTCTGCTTTTTGTCCCTGTGGGTCCAGTGCCCAGCTCTGGACTACTGATGTCCGGCTCCAGCTGGACGGGTTTCGGGGGCTTGAAAGCCAGCCAGCCCTCCGAGTCTCCACCCCAGAGCCGCCTCCGTTAATCATCCAGGCAGGAGACTCGTCACCCCTACCCCCGAGTGCCGTGTTGTCCCGGAGGCCCTCGGAGCGCCTCTCTCCCCACGACACAGTCATACCCTACTTTTTCTTCTCTCCACTAGCTCCTTGGCCGCCCTGTCCTGAGAGTGCATGCTCCGGGAGCCAGGTCCAGGCCGTCCCGTGTCGCGGCCCGACAAGGTGGCCCTCCTAACGGCATCTGGACCGAGTGATGCCTGCAGGGACGTCCTTCCCCTGGTCTGAGGGCCAGGGCTCCCCCAGAAAGCCGCCCTCCCCATGTCCTGGCCGGCCCCCCGCAGTCAGTCCCGGGAGCACCACCTGGAGGGGCCACTCCAAAGGCAGACGGGACCCCAGAATGAACGAGGTGGGTCACCTGGCCCCTGCCCACCTCTCCCACCCTCCGGCTCAAGTCCGGCCAAAGCATGTGCTCCCGGCCCCCTGGCCCTGAGCACTTCTCCATCAACACCGTTTGCCTGGCTTACTCCTTCTCATCTGTCTCTCTGTTTCCAGAAGCTTCCTAGACCCTGAGTTGGGCTGGGGGTCAGGCAGAACACTCACCAGCGCTGCTGGCCCCTTCTCTCGGCCTCCAGGAGTTCCCTCCACAGTTGATCCTGCTGCACACCATCAGTTCCGGGGGCCTGGGGGGCTCGGCGACCGCCAGCGAGACCCCTGCCCACTGCGGGGCCGCTCCGGGCAGTGGGGGTGTGTAAGGCGGACAGCCTGGTGGAGGGGAGCTGGTACCCAGCGGATGTGGTTCTCTGGAACCCAGGGTGGGGGTGACTCCCCATGGATCCGTGTGTGTGTGTGTGTGTGTGTGTGAGAGAGAGAGACAGACTGAGAGAGACAGAGGGAGGGAGAGGGAGAGAGAAAGAGACAAAAAGACAGACTGAGAGAGAGAGACAGAGACAGAGAGACTCCTGTCTGAGCTCGGAACCCTCCTGGGATCCCCCCCTCCCTCTGAACCCCAGGGGAGCCTGGCAGGGGTCGCCGCCCCTCAAGACCCCAAGCTCAGAGTGGTGGGACAGCCCTCGAGCCCAGCTTCGTTTTCAGCCTCTGTCTGTGTTGACTGTTGCCCTGGGAACTGGGCGGCACCCACGTGAGCTCAGGAAAGAAAAGGAAGGGCGTGTATGTGTGTGTGTGTGTGTGTGTATGTGTGTGTGTGCGCGTGTATGCGTGTGAGATGTCTGTGCGAGGCCCAACTCAGCTGCCCCTCAGTTCTGTCCCCTGCCCGCCTGGCTGGAGACCTCAATACAGCATAGGGGGAGAGGGATCAAATACGGAGAGGGATCAAAGCCCAGACTTCTGGGGCGGTGAGAAAAGACACCTGTTTTGGCTCCCAGACAGGATGTGGGGCTTTGGGCCCAGCCTCCCAACTGCCACATGACCCTGAGCAGCCCCTGCCCCTTTGGGAGCCTGGGAACTGGCAACACTAATCCTTTCGGCTCCCCCGTGGATGCAGGGCTCCCGTGAGAAGGTGGACGAAGTGTGGACGACAGGGCACAGGGCAGGTACCGGTGTGATGTCCCCTTCTCCCGGGAGGAGGTGTGAGCCTGTGGCAGGCAAGGGCAAATTAGTGATACTGTGCGATGCGTGCCTGTTCTGGCTCCGCAGAGCTGGAGGGTTTGCAAAGCACTGTCCGTTATCTTGCTCAACCCTCCCAATCATCCAAGGCAGGTATTTCCAACCCCGTTCCACAGATGAGGACACCGAGGCCCTCCCCAGCAAGATTAAGTGACTGCCCAAGGTCACTCAGTCACTAACTGAGACTTGACCTTGAGTTTGTTTGGATCCTCTGAAGGAAGAACCGGCAGGTGGGGATTCCGGTTCTGAACCTCTGGCTGCGATTCTGCCCTGACCCAGTGTGGCCCGGATTGCTCTGTGGCCCGGGCCTCTTCTCGTGTGGCTCAGTTGGCCTCCTCAGACACCCCTCCCCCGTGGCTTCTGCTCCCAGAACTAATGCTCCCAGGTGTCTCGGCTTTTGGTTGTCCCCCGCCACTGGCAGACCCTCCTCTCTTTCCTTGAAGCTTTTCGGGGGGCCGATGGAGCTGGGCGCAGCGCTCACGGCTCTGCATGGCTGGGAAATAGACTCGTAGCCGACTAGGCGCAGACAAAGCCACACTCCACAGCGGTGTGCACAGGGTGCCCCGGGGTGTGCGGACAAGTTCAGCCAACGCACCTGAGCTCGCACTGGATTCTGTTTTCACGAGAGAGGCACCAAGGAGAGGTGAAGAGAACTTGCCAGGTGGAAAAATTGGGGAAAGCACAAATGCGGGGATTTCAGAGGGGGCATCGGTATCGGGGGGAGGTGAGAGAAGGGAGGTCTGAGGCTGGTGAGTGGGGCCCCCGGCCACAGGTGTTGGAGCTGTGCCCCGAGTTAGTGCACAAGAGGGAGACCCTGCTGGCTTGAAGCCCCAGGGGGTTGCAGGGCAAAGAAGCATCAGGAAAGGACAAGAAGCTGGGGAGTGACCACTGCGGGGGCCCAGGTGAGAGGCGGTGAAGCCCACACTGGTTGGGGGGGGGGGCGCAGAGAGCTGGAGCAGAGATGGGGTGACAGCCGCCAGCACTTGCCTGAGGGGGCGGCTGAGTGGTGTGACCTTCTGGAACAAAACCAGCCCAAAAGCAGAGGCTGTGGGGCGGGTGGAGTCTGTCTCTTCTCTCTCCTCTGTTCTTGCTCCAGAGCTGGGACAGGCAGGCTGGCATTCAGTGACCTTGACGTTTTTCCCAATGAAGATGAACTGGGTGGAACCCCGGGGGCCCAGAAACAGGCTTTCCCGGTGGCTATTGTCTCTTTGGTGTCTGTGGCCTCAGCACAGCTGGGACAGGTCTCTGCTTTGCCAAGGAGTGGCAGCTCCTACCTCCTGGAACCTCTGGAAGGGGCCCCATGAGCGTGTTTAGAGACGGCGGTGCCTGCCGCGTGGGACACCTCTTGTAAAGCCAACCACAGGCTGTGACGTAGAGCAGCTTGGAACAGCCTGGAATAGCCATGTGGTTTGCTCAGATACTTTGGCCCAGGTCCCCTGGACACATGCTCCGGAGACATGGAACAGGACCAACAAGGCCAGCAGGTGCTTCCAGGATGAACCAGGGCTTGGTGAGTGTAGAGGCTGAATATTTCTGTGGGGGTTGGCTTTTCATTTAACTTAGAAACCATTTCAGACTGACCGATGGTAAAGGGATGGAAATGTGACAAAGCGAATAGAACAAAACATTCATTGTAGAATCTAGGTGATGGGTATATAGGTGTTCACGGTACCATTCTTTCAACGCTTCTATGTGTTTGACATTTTTCAAAATAAAATGTGGGGGGCATGGGGCGCCTGGGTGGCTCAGTCGGTAGAGCGACCGACTTCGGCTCAGGTCATGATCTCACAGCTCGTGGGTTCGAGCCCCGCGTCGGGCTCTGTGCTGACAGCTCGGAGCCTGGAGCCTGCTTCGGATTCTGTGTCTCCCTCTCTCTCTGCCCCTAACCCACTCACATTCTGTCTGTGTCTCTCTCAAAAATAAATAAACATTAAAAAAAAAATTAAAAAATGTGGGGGGCTTGGGGGAGATTTCACCTGCCGGTGCTGCTTGAACACATTCTGTTTCCTCAGTCACTGACCTGGAAAAGTGTTCAGATCCACTCTGGGTGGGTGTCACTGAGCCCAGCCTGGAGGGAATCGGGACACTGGGTTCCAGTTCCAGCTCTTCCAATGACTTGCTAGGTGTCCTTGAGCAAGTCATTGCCCCTTCCACACCCCACATCTTGAGATTTAACTTTATATACAACTCTCCAGGACAGGACAAATATGCCTGGATTTGGGGGTTTGCTGGGGCTGTATTTTAATGGGTTTCTCGCAACCCTAAGGACCTTAACGTAGGTTCTGGTAGAACTCTACAGCCTAGCCTCTGATGTGCAGTGACAGGTGGGGCCCCACTGGGCCAAGTGCCAGCAACAGGGGAGAATTCGCTAAACCGGGTGGGGTGGAGCCTCAGGGGCAAACGTGGGTGGGGCTGGCTCAAGGACCCCGCCCACTTCCTGTAGACCTCGCCCCTTCCCCAATTGGCTGGCGGAGGGTCCCTAGGGGGAGCTCCCCGCTGCGGGGCAGCGCCCAGGGGCCTCAGGGAGCCGGTGCAGAGGTGGGTAGCGGGAGTTGGGAACGAGACAAATGAGGCTCAGGGGAAGGGCGGCGGGGCTCCAGGAAGCAGGGGCTGCGGTGGGGAAAGTGTTTGCTTGTGTAGTTTAGGCTTCCCTCCTGTGCCCTGGAACGCCGACCCGGATAAAAATTTTGGCTTAACACCAACCTCCATTTCCCCCCAGGCGCACACCCTGAACGCTTTATCCAAGGTGATGAAAGCCAGAGGACTTGGGGCCACCTTTCACACCTTTCCAGAGGCTCCTACCAAGTCCCCAGAGAGTTCTGAGTTTATCCCTACGGCGACGGTCAAGGTTAATTTATTTGTGGATAAGTCCACACCCCCGTGGCATCCCAGGCCATTTTCACTTTGGAAGAGTCACTTTTGATGTTACTGTTTATTTCTTTGCTGTCAGTGTACCCACCGTTTTGTATTCAGCTTCAAAAAAGTTAACATCGGAAACACCTTTTCATGTGTTTCTTCGTGATCTTTATACATCTCACTTTAATCCGTTTCTTAGAATTGATGTGACATAATTTACTTAGCCATTTTCCCTCTTCCTGGGCATTTACTTTGTTTCCGGATTTAGCATGAGCTCCGGTGAATATCTTTGTGCCTCTTTCTGTGGAACTGTTTCAACAGGACATATTCCCAAAATGGGATGACGGAGTCAGAGGATAGGGACATCTTAATGACACGCAGTATACAGGTCAATGTTGCTCTCCAGCCAAGCATGAGTGTGTCAGCTTTGCTGGTCCCGCCAGAACTGGAAGCTGGGTGTCGATCGGGGTCTCTGAGACCACCCCCAGGTTGATGATCTGCTGGGAGGATTCCCAGGACTCAGCATATGGCAATGTTCATGGCTCTGATTTATTTTGGCCAGAGGAAAGGAAGTCGAATCAGGAAAGAGAAAGGCATATGAGACGAAGTCCAGAGGAAACCAGGCAAAAGCTTCTAAACCCTGTCCTGTGGAGTCACTCGGGACACGCCGCCCAGCAATGAGTTGTGGCAACGTGCGTGTCAAAGATTGTCGACCAGGTAGGTTCCTTAGAGAGTCAGCTCCCCGGGCTTTCACTGGGGGCAAGTCATATAGGCACTTCGTGTGGCACGTCCCCAAATTCCAGATTCCCAGAAGGAAAGCAGGTTCTCAGCAGCAGGAATTATCGTAGCACAGCGTAGGCATAGGGAGCCTATTATCAGGGAATGGAGGGAATCCTCCCAAAATCTGGGTTCCCAGATACCAGTGAAGGGCCAATCTTGCAAGCAGGCCTTTCTTGAGGACAGTGGTCTCAGCCACACTGTGTTAACTCTTTTGCACTTTCGTGATTTCGCTAACACTTAACTAGTCCCCAATTTCCCCACGAACATCCTTGATAATTTTCAGCAATTAGGCACTCTATACCAATCTAGGCTCTGGGAGATAATATAAATATTCCCTGATAGACATTTACGTTAACGATAATAATTGTCAGGGAGCCTGGGTGGCTCAGTCGATGAAGCATCTGACACTTGATCTCAACTCAGGTCATGATCTCGGGGTTGTGAGTTCAAGATCCACGTTGGGATCTGCATTGGGCACGAAGCCTACTTAAATAATAATAATCGCATAGCACTTCAGGTCGGAGAGTACGTCTGCATTTCTCACCGGAGTATAACCGCCTCCTAGGGGTGG